CATTATCTTTATTTCATTTTCCTCCTTTAGAATAAAAGTCTTGACCATTTAAAAGAAGAAAAGCCAGCCATTTGTTGAAAATAGAAATTGTTGAACATAATCAAATGTTTTAATTTTTCCTCCATTCTTATTGCAAATATTTCTTGAATTTGTTTATTTTCCTTTGTGAAAAGAATCGGTGTAAATTCTTTCCTTAAGGTTAAAAGAAAGATTCATTCTCTTTGTCTTACCGCAACATGTGCTTCAGCTAGGTTTGATCAATAACTTGGGTCCTTTTGGCTTGAATAATTAATAAACCCAGTTCGTCTGTGATGAGTTTGTCTGTAGATGTAATTCATGAGTTAGTTTTAACTTTGTATGTTACCTTTAAAATATCAATATAGATTGCCTTGTATATAAACCCATGAAGCTTTGCAGCCCCAAATTGGCAGCAACAATTGCTTTTTCAAGGTACAGTTCATATACTGCAGCCACGTATTTAACTTTCAAGAAACATTGATCCATTCTCAGCATCCTTGTGAGTCAGGTATGTTTTCTAATTATTGTAATATGGAAACAGAAGCAAAAGGAGACTATTTCTTGTCTTGATCACATCATGAAGCAACAATCAAACCAGAAATAACTCTAGTCTCTGACACACACTGTTGTATATTCATGTTGGGTTTTTCTATAAACTTGCAGTGATCTTTATTATCATCTGTTTGATATCATCCTTAAGAACTATATTCTCTTGTTTTTAGTTGAAATAATTTATCTGGGTTTGTATTTTCAAAGTGGAAATTTGGCAATGGATTGGATCTTGGTGTAATTCAAGCTTTCCTGCATAGTAAGTACCTAGAAATTATTATTGAGAGACAGAAGACATAAAAATATCATGTGAAGCCATAAACATAGTAACTATGGGATCATAGGAGAAATTCTGTATCAGTCATTTTCTTGTTTTCTTTTATACACCAGTTAATGCACACCAATAATTTTCATTGTCTCAAAATCTTGTTGTTGCTCACTCACTGTAGTACTGTAGAATGGAGAGGTGTCATGGAGTATAATTGTAGGCAGAATACAGTGAGGATAGGCCCTCGTGGTTTTGGAATAGTTAATGCCTACAAACTCTAATTATGCAATGCTGCCTTTTTTCTGAAGGGGGAAAATGCTATAGCAGTGGTTTGTGTTTTCCATCCAAAGATGAGTAACACTAACTAATGGATATAACCAATAACGTGCTATCAAAATGAAGATTTAACAATTACAAGTGGTGATTGCTTACATATCAAAACATTTAAAATTCTGTATGTGGGCTGTTACCAAGAGTTTTGCTTGCTACCAAGAGGCAGAATGGTTCTTTAAAGCTATCCTGATGACCCAGATCTCTGGGATGCCTAATGGCATGCTACTACTCAGCCCTGCCTCAAAGGACTGAAATCTTAAAACTGGTGATGACAATGCTCTTGTTTCTCCTATCCAACCTCCTTTTGACCCAATGTGTCCCCTCTTCTCTTTCACCTACATGCAACTAGACTATTTAGTAAGTGTTATATTTCAGGGGCTAAAGAAAGGAAACAGTAAGTGATAGCTTCCAGAAACTTCACATTTCATTGAAAAGCCATAAAAATAACTTCTATAATGGTTAAAATATTGATTAGACAACTATATGGTATGTAGGGCTGTGCCTTCCTATATCTTAAAATACTGGCACTTTTCTTGACTGAAACCAAAGACAGTGGGGCTGAGAGAACCGTGTGTTTTCACTTGGTAGCAGTCATAGGATTTCATTAAATCACAGTTCTGCCCCTTCCGGCCTCTGTCCCTGGAAGGGGCAGAACTGTCTGCCCTTTCAAGAGACTACTTAGGACCAATCAGCGCAATGGCTCCACTCATCATAGCAATGGGAGTCTGCCAAATTGGGCTCCTCTCTTAGCACTGGAGAAAGAGAGATTATTTAGGGAGTGGGAGGAGAGGGCTTCCTGCTTCATAATACAGTACCTTGAGCTTTGGTGCAAAATGGGGTCAAGGTGTCAGTCCTGCTCTGCTGGATAATGTCATTCTTGTGTGCCTCTGTGGGTGTAAAATAAGCTTGTGGAATAGATTATTGGCAGTTTCTATAAGTAAAATATATATATTGTATCCAGTGGAGAATTAGATTTTCAGAAGAAGCAATATAGGGGATTTGGAGAGACTTTATTCAAAATGAGAAGCTCTCTCTCTCCCCTTTATGTGATTTAATGAATCTTTGTTCTTACTGTGCTGAAAAAACCTTGTCTTGATAGTACCAAAGCTAAGCTGTTGGCATTTAAAACCTATAACTGGCCTGAAGCTCTTCCAATTTGTAAACTCAAAAAATCTTCTAAAATGTCATCCCAACAGCTCTGTAAAAATGGTCATATTTCCTACTTTAGTTATTATATCAACCCAGAATTCTGTGCTGCAGTGTTGGTTTGGGTGTTTGTGGCTCATGAATGAACAAAATGCAAAGATTGTTGTTTCCTTGTCGTCAGATTTAGGTTTAAGGGATTTCCAGGGTGGATTACTAGTTGCTATCTCTCTCTCTCACTTTTTTTTTTAACTTAGAAGTTCCAACTTTCCACATCAACTGATTTCTTTCAAAATTAGAAGTAATAAAAAGAGAACAATAATTAAAATGTACCCATCACATGCTGTAATTGCTTTAGGATCACGATACAAAGCTGCACTGGCAAATGGGTGATAAAATGTTTAGGGATAGAGAGCATCTGAGGATCTGAATTTTATCATTATCTTGTCAATATGTTGAGTTTTTAGTCATTCCAGATCTGTACCAACCCCAGGTGGGTAACATTCCTGAGATGAGAACTCTGCCCATTTGCAAGCTTCTGAGTGGAGTTCCCTTTAACCTCCAAGATGGTGCCTTCCTGCCTCACCTAATTCTGTTGGACTCAGTCTTTTGCTTTTACTGCTCCTTGAAATTAGCTAGAATTTCCATTTGGGTAAAAGGAAGATGCTACTGGGATATTTACTACCTTATGGTGCTGTTGAGAAAATAAAATAACTGTGTTTAGGATTAGGATGGTGCCTAAATCCATGAAACAGTTAATACATTTGCAATTCTTTTATTTTACCTTTGGGTGTAGGCAAGGTTTTCACCCATAATCTCTTGGGAAATAACCAGCTATCTTGCCTTTCCAGGGTTCTGGTGAATTCTATAAGTCCCCCCTCTGATACCTTACTATAACACACAAAAACTAGCAAAATATAGAAGTGTTGGTTAACTTTTTGTGTTTGAAAAGCAAACAGGAATGGAAACCCACTTTCTTACTTACAGCTGGATTATATACAATCATTTCCTACCCAGAAAGGAATCACAGATGGGCCTGAAACAAAGAATAGAAAATGGCCCTAACTGTGTTTCAGAAAACCAATTTTAGGAACGCAGATTTTAGGTTTGTAAGCCAGCATGACTTTCAGCCTCTGGGATAGCTATATAGAATTTCATGCTGTGTGTGTCATAACGCGGCAGCCCTGTTACATTCACAATGTACATGTTGTCTGCTATTCTGTGACAGTTTAAGTTGGTATATGGGTTTCTATTATGGAATTGGTAATTGGTAAACCCTGACAGGGTTTCTATTTCTTAGGTATTGTGACATATAAGAGCTGTAATTATTTTGACACAATTCCATTTGTGCATTTGGCTAATTAAGAATTCAATAAAAGAGTTCTAACTATAATTTAAAATACCTAACTAATTTATTTTTTGTCTTTATATTTTGATTTATGGCCTTTGTGATGGCTTATAGGATAAAGATAGATTTAATTGTAATGTTTCTACATCTTATTTTCCCACTTCTGAGGGAGAAATAGCTAAAGATTAAGTCAAACAGAGCCCACTGCATATCTGTTATGACCAAAAATCACTCCTTTTAAAAAAGAGATATCTGAGGGAAATTCTTTCTTTGATACCATAACAAAGGTCGTTCTTAGGAATAGAAACTAGTATTTTAGACATCTTTTGGTTTATTGCTTTTTTTACCTCCCTCCCCCAACTATTAAAGTCTCTCCAGACAGGAAATTAGCATATAGAGTGGGGAGACAAGTCTTGACTAAAGTCAGAATTCTCAGTTAGCACTCTCTTATCCAACACCTGACTTTTATATATAGATATAGATATACATGAATAATGGTGTTTGAAAGAAGTTGTTTGAGATTATTTTCTTGAAATTTGTGAACTGTGCTTTGTTAAAATGTACTCTTTCTCTGGAAAGCATTTTAAAACTATTAAGTCTTTTACTGGCTATGCTATGGTCTGAAGAGGCTGCTAGTGTCATTTTGTACCCATGTTCAGTATTGCGTATTTGAGTTCTTTATCACTGACAGCTTAGTCTTTAATCACTGAATCTTTGACCTCAGCTTGTTTCCTCAACTTGCAATGACTAGACTCTATAACTGAGCTCTTTATTATTATTATTATTATTATTATTATTATTATTATTTTTACCATTCACCGTTTTATTTATAATTTTAGCAAAACACATGTAAAAAATCCACCATTCTGATCATTTGAAAGCGCACAGTTCAGTAGTGTTCTGGACTCTTTGTAAGGTGAAGCCTTTCTGTTTTCATACTTGAAAGACTTCTTTGTCCGTTCTGGCTGCTATAACAAATCACCGTATAGCAATTTAAACAATAGCAATTTATTTCTCACGGTTCTGGAGGCTGGGAAGTCCTAAGATAGAGGTGTGGGCAGACTCTGCTTCCTGATTGTGGATGGCTGGTTCCCCCCTGTGTCCTCACATGGGGTCAGGAGGGCATGGAGCCCTCTGGGGTGTCTTTATGTCCGCACCCCCCATCCTGAGGGCTCCGGCTCAATGGCCTGGTCACCTCCCGAAGGCCCCAGCTCGAATACCATCCCACTGAGGGTGACTGTTTCAACCTCTGAGGGACAGGGGGGGACGGACACAGATATTCAGTCTAGAGCCACCAGTAACACCGCTCTGTTCCATTTTGTGTTGTTCCAGAACTCCAAGATGGGAGGCAAGCTGAGCAAGAAGAAGAAGGGGTACAATGTGAACGATGAGAAGGCCAAGGACAAGGACAAGAAGGCCGAAGGAGCGGGCACGGAAGAGGAAGGGACCCCGAAGGAGAATGAGACCCAGGCGGCCGGGGAGACCCCCGCAGTGAAGGAGGGCAAGGAGGAGAAGGCGGAGAAGGATGCCCAGGATGCTGCCAACAAGCCCGAAGACAAGGAAGGCGAGAAAGACACAGAGGCGGCCAAGGCGGATGCTCCGAAGGCAGAGCCCGAGCAGACGGAGGCAGCAGCCGAGGGGAAGCCGGAGCCCCCGAAGGAGGCGGAGCAGGCGGCCACCTCGGGCCCCACTGCTGCGGGCGATGCCCCCAAGGCTCCCGAGGCTGAGGCCCCTGCGGAACCAGCCAAGGTGGATGACAAGAGCAAGGAGGGAGGGGAACCCGCAAAGACTGAGGCTCCCGCGGCTCCTGCCTCGCAGGAAACGAAAAGTGACGGGGCCGCAGCTTCAGACTCAAAACCCAGCAGCACTGAGGCTGCCCCCTCGTCCAAGGAGGCCCCAGCAGCCACGGAAGCACCCAGCTCCACGCCCAAGGCCCAGGCCCCTGCAGCTCCCACCGCCCCTGCAGCCCCCGCAGAGGAGGTCAAACCTGCCGCCGACGCCCCGGCCATCAATTCCGACCAAACCGTGGCGGTGAAAGAGTAACTAGGACAGCCTCTGGGAAAAGAGATCACAGCTTACACAACCTGTTTCTCTCTCTCTCTGTCTGTCTCTCTGTCTCTCTCCTATACTAACTTGTTTCAAATTGGAAGTAATGATATGTATTGCCCAAGGAAAAAAAAAAAAAAAGAAAGAAAGAGAAAAGAAATGAAAAAGATGTCCCATCAAAGGAGGGAGGGGGGATGGGGAGAATCCAAATAGTATTTTTGTGGGGAAATATCTAATATACCTTCGGTCAACTCTACCAATCAGTCCTGGAGTCTAGAGGTCAATGTCTGAAAGTACTCCGCCACTCAGATGGGCTCCGTCTTCTGCAAGGGGAGTAAAGGGGGTGTTGCGTTTGATTCTGCCCACAGGGCCCTTCCAAGGCAATCAGATCTTTATGAAAGCAGTATTTTCTGTGTTTTCTTTTTTTTTTTTTTTAATTTGCAGCCTTCCTTCTTTTGATATTTTTTAAATGTTTGTGGATGAATGCCAACTTTCAGACAGCCCACTGAGCCTGTCCACATGTATCTCCATGCCAAGACTCCATTCCTCCTCCCCAGGTATTTTTGGGAGTAACACACATTCTCTCATCCAACTTAGCCTCCCTAGATTTCTCATGACGAGTTAATGCATGTCCGTGGTTGGGTGCACCTGTAGTTCTGTTTATTGGTCAGTGGAAATGAAAAAAAAAAAAAAATAAAAATGTCTGCGTTCATTGCAGTTCCAGTTTCTCCTCCATCCTGTGTCACAGACACCAACACACCACTCATTGGAAAAATGGGAAAAAAATTAAAAAAAAATAACAAAAAAATGTACAATGGATGCATTGAAATTATATGTAATTGTATAAATGGTGCAACAGTAATAAAGTTAAACAGTTAAAGAGAAGTAATGATGACTATTGGTTTTCTTTTGTCACCCCTTCCTCCTCCTTGGTAACCTCAGTGGAGCACAGAGCAATGTATCTGGCATTTTTGGAATCTATTTGCATAGAAGTATAAGGCAATATCCTCAAGTTTTTGTGGACATTACTTGTTTAAAAAATTAGTTGCAAGAATGTCATTAAGTTATCTTGGAAGAGGCTAAACTGAAAAGCTACTGTCTATGGGTATGCACCCTATAGAAGAATGGATGTGATGAATTTACTTCAACAGGATTATTTTGAATAAAATAAGCAAGTGACAATAGATTTGATCTTGAAGGTTGGTAAGAAAAGAGTCCTAAGATCTTACAGAAACATCGTATGTATGTACTGCAAGTGGTGTTGTATCCCTTTATTCATCAGACTAGAGGCCTGATGCACAAAGATTCATGCAAGAATGGGCCTTCCTTACCCTGGCTGCTTGCACAGTCTTCGCTCCGGCTGGAGCTGCCTTTTCACTCCAGCTCAGAGCTGCCTTTCTGCCTTCCCACGCTGCCCAGAGGCCCTGAGCAGGTGGGGAGGTGCAGAACACCTGCCCCCTGGCTGCTTGGTGCTTGCATATGCAAATTAACCCATCATCATTGTTGGGTTAATTTGTATATTCACTTCTTAATAGCTGGTGGACGATTCAAAGATACAGTCAATTTGCATCTTATTCTTTTATTAGTGTAGATTCATTCTTGATAGAGCCTAGAAAGGGGCCCCATGTTGCGAGCAGGCAGTGAGAAGCAGCAGTGTGGAAGCAAGCACAAAGCTGGCCTTTATGTGACCAGGTTCCTGTCCAGGTTTTGCCACTCCTAATGACCTTTAAGTCACTTCTAACCTCCGGACTTCCCTGCCTTATCTACAACTGGGCAAAAGCTCTATAACTTCTTAGGAAAGACTCCTTTCAACTTTTGAAATACTGAGTTGCTTGTGTGTATATCTGTTGGCAATTTTATATTATGATGGGTATGTATCTACTGACAGATAATCACCCCCATACCCTGATTTATCCCCCACACTGCTCAGTTTGCTCAGGTTTCATAGATTCTGTAGATGGGAAAAGGGTAGGAGAATTGGTGTAAGCAGTGGCTTAGGGAGGGGCCAGGCTTGCACATTAATTCTTTAATGTAAGACAAGAAGGAATTATCACTTAGTTCTTGGTAGTCATTTTGATCTTTTCTAATTGGATATTAGAAACCAAATTTTGAATATAAAACATTTAAAAATGACTTAACCTGAGCCACTGTAAAGATTGCTTGAATCAGTTAAATGTCATAGGGAATTTTCTATAGAATTTGAGAAGGGCCACTATACAGAAATTTATTCCCAAATGGACGTCAGCAATACAGTAGATGAGGATGAATCCGAAATTTTTCTTATGCAGTAAGTTACACATGCTTAAATAAAGGGGAACAAAATTCCAATTTTGGAGTGACCTGCAGTTTTACCATACATAAGACGTTGCTGGGGTGTAATAACGGGAAAGAAGAAGTGAAACATTAGGCAGATATACCTGTGGGTTTCATTCATGACTATGATCACCTTTTTGAATTTTTGGTTCTTGTTTCTATAGTGAAAAAAATTTCACCACTTAATGCTTGAAAGCACAGCATATGAGAAATATGTAAACACAAAACCACCAAGCTACTGTTTTAGGTATGAAAAACAACAGAGGACTGCCCAGATTATTACCAGTGTGTCCCAGAATATATAAAATAGCTTGGGGGTAGGTTGGTGATAGGAAGACAACAGATTGAGTGAACCATGGAGGACATTTATTCTGTTACTAACATTAAATAGCATGCACTTCTTGCAAGTAAATGTGCTTGGTGCAAGTAATGTCTTTTCATTCACTTCTTTAATTTAAAAATTCACTAGACATTTGGTGATTAGAACAATCAAACCAGCCTCCTGGATTAACATTTATTACTGTAAATGACTGTTTAAGGATGAATAAAACTAAGACATTTCTTCTCAGTTTATTTACACTTAGAATTATTGAGTTGGGTAGGAGAATTAAAATCTGAGCTATATATATATATTTTTTTTTTCTTTTATCGCTTAGAATTGTGTTCAAACAAGAGTACATAAATGTGGTCACCAAAGTATTTAAATCAGAACTTTAACCTAACCATGCCTCACAACATGTAATTTTACCACACCTAAGAAAAACAGATGTAATTTGAAATTGTATATTCAACAGGAAATGTCATATGCATGGGTGATTGGTGATTGGTTCACCAGGAAGGAAACAGTGTTGGGCATTCAAGTTAATTTTGGATTAACCTAGATTGTGCCCTCCTCATGAACGATCTAAAACAAAGGGAAGGCAATGCATAGGCTGTCTTTAACAGGCAAGTCAGCATTATTTGGGAACCCACCACATTTGGCTGACTAACTCACAAGTATACATCTCTATGAAAAATAAAGGGTTTTTAGGGTCTAACATCTGCGAAGTGCTTATGAGCATACCGCCAGGAGAAAATTAGCAGGAATCAGAATGAGCTTGTTCAAGGTTGCTAGCTTTGTTTTTCCACCTGAAGGTGCTGACAAGTAGCTGACAATGGCTCTGCATGATGAGGATGAACCCAAATCCCTAAGAGTTGGGATGCACCATACATCCCAGAATGGCCTTACCAGGTGTCAACCCTAAGAGAAGACATCTTCAGTTGTCCCTAGCTATTAAGGGAGAGGTCACACATGACCACGATGCAGGCATACCACTCACCATTCTTGAAGAGACTCCAGACCCAGGTCTAGTGCACAACAGGGACTTGATCTAGACATTCTTCAGCTGCCTAAGTTGGGTAAATTATTAGGTGCCAGCAACTACACAAAGTTCGTTTTCAAAAAGCATCCTGAACCTTAATTTTCATTAAGTGAAACATCAAAGAATATTGAAACAATATCCTCATCAAAACATACCCACTGTCAGATATGGTTCTGGTACATGCATTTTTTGTTGCTCCTTTATACCGATGGGGCACAGCAAATTTCATTCATTCCATTTCTGAGGGGGAGAATCTATTTGTACAATTTACTATTTTGGTGTTATCTAACATCTTGTCTCAGTATTGATGGGGTTAATCTTTATTCTTTGGATTTCTATTTCGCTTTTTTTTGGTGTAACAGTGCAGTTATTTTAAGTTTTATTTTAAACTAATTTGCACAATATTGAGAACTGGAAGCATTTTAAGAATATATCAGCCCTAGCCAGTTTGGCTTAATGGATAGAGCGTCAGCCTATGGACTAAAGAGTTCCAGGTTTGATTCCAGTTAAGGGCACATGCCCGGGTTGTGGGCTCAATCCCCAGTGATGGTGGTGATGGGGTGTGTGCAGAAGGATGTCTTTTTTTTTTTTTTTAACCTTCTGCTAATGGGAATGTAAAAAGGGCAATATAGGAAGCTTTTGACTAAGGTCTTTGATTTTTTAAAAAGCTATTCCTTATCATGAGCTTATATATTTCATATCTTTTTAATGATATAAATGTTAGTGTATGAAATCTCCAGGAACCACGAGTCCCGTACATTTCTCCAGGTTTTTTCAGTCTTCATTTTAAAAGCAATTTGCATTCTGAAGCTGTACACTTCCATTCACATACATATTTCAGCCAATTCCTAGAGCGAATATTTTTTTAAAAAAGACCTATGACCTTGAAAAAGAATACTCAGTTTAACTGTACACATTGAAATAGAAAAATTAAATAACAATATCATTTACCTCTATCTTCTCTACACTTGACCTTCAGATTTCCCCAAGGCCAAATATCACATTTGTTCCTCATTTTTCTTTAAAGGTGGTTTTTTGTTTCCTCCGAGTTTCCCCCTGAGACCAGGGAATTTCACCTTTAATAGCATTCACTTATAAATTAATTGGCCTTATATAATGAATCATTTCTTTTGTTTTAACTGAGGTAAATGGTCAAAGGACAAAATGATGGAGCTACACGCACAAATTTAGAGTTAAGAGATATGTGTATTTGCTTTCTTCACATATGCTTTTGGTTGTATAGTCCAGGATTTAAGAGAGTAAGCTTGGGGAAAATATATACACTTCGAATACACTTTTGAGAACAAAAAGAATGGGGAAGAA